GGGGGGGGTTGGATTCTCGAGACAGTGTTTCTCTGTGTAGCCCTGGCTGTCCTGGAACTCACTCTGTAGACTAGGCTAGCCTCGAACTCTCAAACTCAGAAATCCGCCTGCCTCTGCCTCCCAAGTGCTGGGATTAAAGGCGTGTGCCACCACTGCCCAGCCTAAAGTTACTTCTTTGTTTTAGCCTAATGTCAGATTCTTGCCTGAAGTCCATTTCCTTGTCCTTGGCCTATGTCAGATTCCTGCCAGGCAGCCCCAAAAGCTTGCCACATCTCCCCCTTTTTTATTGCATAAACCTGACTGAGTCTGTCTTAGGTTATTCTGACAAGAATGCCTTCCTTACCTGTCATGGAATATTCATTATCAAAAGCAATGCACTTCTGTCTTAGGTTGATAAGGCAGAATCTTACCCATCCTCAGCTTCCCAGACTGTTAATAGCTCAGTCTGGGGGTTCCATTTTCAGTTTCAAGTCATGTACTTTGGCTGCCAACTTGTTGATGTAGTTAGAGACAAGCTTTCGCATGACAGGCAAGAATAAAACTATTCCCAGGACAAAAGGGGCTAGCCTGATCAAGCTATATATCATTCCTGAAGTTTGACAAAAATGAAAATACTGACCTCAAGCCATGGATAATTTTATCAGCATTATCTGCAGCATCAAAGCTCAACAAAGCAGCTTTCTTTAAATTTATAATATCGCTATGCAAATTTAAAACATCCAGAGAGGTGTTAGAATTATTCCACATACCTTACAGGTGTCTTTAAGCTTTTTTGATCTAGAGCTTTCAGGTGTGTTGTCAAGCTGCTAGTGTATGCTCTCTCCAGTTTCTTTTTCTAGGCACTAAGAGCTGTGAGTTTTCCTCTTAGCACTGCTTTCATTGTGTCCCATAAGTTTTGGTATGATCTGTCTTCATTTTCTTTAAATTCTAAGAAGTCTTTAATTTCTTTCTTTATTTCTTCCCTGACCAAGTTATCATTGAGTAGAGCATTGTTCAGTTTCCATGTGTATGTGGGCTTTCCATTGTTTTTGTCATTATTGAAGACCAGTCTTAATTCATGGTGATCTGATAGAATGCATGGGATTATTTCAATTTTCTTGTATCTGTTAAGGCTTGTTTTGTGACCAATTATATGGCCAATTTTGGAGAAGGTACCATGAGGTGTCGAGGAGAAGGTATATTCTTTCATTTGGGGATGAAATGTTCTATAGATATCTGCTAAATCCATTTGGTTCTTAACTTCTCTTACTTTCACTGTGTCTCTACTTAGTTTCTGTTTCCATGATCTGTCCATTGTTGAAAGTGGGATGTTGAAGTCTCCCACTATTATTGTGTGATTATATGTTATTATATGTGTATTATATGTTATTATATGTGTATCATATGTGTGCTTTGTTATTATATACTATATATATTGTATATATATTGTATATTGTATGTGTATAATAAGTGTATTATATGTGTGCCTTGAGCTTTAGTAAGGTTTCCTTTATGAAAGTGGGTGCCCCTGCGTTTGGAGCATAGATGTTCAGAATTGAGGTTTCCTCTTGGTTGACTTTTTCTTTGACGAGTATTGAGTGTCCTTCTTTATCTTTTTTGATAGCTTTAAGTTGAAAGTTGGTTTTATTAGAATAGCTACTCCAGCTTATTTCTTAGGAATATTTGCTTGAAAAATTGTTTTCCAGCCTTTTACTCTAAGGTAATGTCTGTCTTTGTCACTGAGGTGCATTTCCTGTATGCAACAAAATGCTGGGTCCTATTTACATATCCAGTCCTTTAGTCTATGTCTTTTTATTGGGGAATTGATTCCATTGATGTTAAGAGATATTAAGGAAAGGTGATTGTTGCCTCCTATTATTTTTGTTATTAGCAGTGGAATTATGTTTGTGTATCTATCTTCTTTTGGATGTGTTGGAAGAAGATTACTTTCTTGCTCTTTCTAGGGTATAATTTCCCTCCTCCTATTGGAGTTTTCCCTCTATTATCCTTTGTAGTACTGGATTTGTGGAAAGATACTATGTAAATTTGGTTTTGTCATGGAATATCTTGGTTTCTCCATCTATGCTAATTGAGAGTTTTGCTGGATATAGTAGCCTGGGCTGGCATTTGTGTTCTCTTAGGGTCTGTATGATGTCAGTCCAGGATCTTCTGGCTTTTAGAGATTCTGGTAAGAAGTCTGGTGTAATTCTTATAGGTCTGCCTTTATATGTTACTTGGCCTTTTTCCCTTAACTCCTTTTAATATTCTTTATTTGTTTTGTGCATTTGGTGTTTTAATTATTATGTGACAGGAGGTATTTCTTTACTGGTCTAGTATTTGGAGTTCTGTAGGCTTCTTTTATGTTTATGGGTGTCTCTTTCTTTAGGTTAGGAAAGTTTTCTTCTATAATTGTGTTGAAGACATTTACTGGCCCTTTAAGTTGGGAATCTTCACTCTCATCTATGCCTATTATCCTTAGGTTTGGTCTTCCCATTGTGTCCTGGACTTCCTGGATTCTTTGGGATAGGAGCTTTTTGCACTGTGCATTTTCTTTGACAGTTGTGTCAATATTTTCTATGGTATCTTCTGCACCTGAGATTCTCTCTTCTGTCTCTTGTATTCTGTTGGTAATGTTTACACCTATGACTCCTGATTTCTTCCCTAGGTTTCCAATCTCCGGGGTAGTCTCCCTTTGTGATTCCTTTATTGTTTCTACTTCCATGTTTATGTCCTGGATGGTTTTGTTCAATTCCTTCACCTGTTTGGTTGTGTTTTCTTGTAATTCTTTAAGAGATTTTTTTTGTTTCCTCTTTAAGAGCTTCTACCTGTTTACTGTGTTCTCAATTTCTTTGAGAGTGTTATTTATGTCCTTCTTAAAGTCCTCTATCATCATCATGAGAAGTGATTTTAAATCAGAATCTTGCTTTTCTGGAGTGATGGGGTACTCAGGACTTGCTATGGTTGGAGAACTAGGTTCTCATGATGCCAAGTACCCTTGATTGCTGAGGCTTATGTTTTTGCACTTGCCTTTTTCCATCTGGTTATCTTTAAGTGCTTCCTGCACTCGCGGTCTCTGACTGGTCCCTGTCTTTTCTGTTATCTTGGTTGTGTCAGAACTCCTCAGAGTCCAGTTGTCTCTGTGATCCTGAGATCCTGAGTGTAAGAGCACCTGGGAGTCAGGCTACCTCTGTGATCCAGACATCCTGGTATGACCAATCTCCTGAGATCTGGTGATCCTATGATTCTATGTTCCTGAGCATGTTAGAGCTCCTGGGAGTCCAGCCCGCTTTGGGTTTTGTGCTCAGGCACAGACCAGAAGGAACTGGTCCCCCCTGGCCTGGAGTGAGTTCCTAGGTCCCCGTGGGTCCTTACTCCCTGTTTGGGGTGGGTATTGCTGCCTCCTTACCTAATATCCTGCCAGGGTTAGAGCTCCTGGAAGTCCAACCCCCTCTGGGTTTTGTGGTATTGCATGCAGAGCTGAAGCTCAAGATCTCCTCAGTGCTCTGGCACAGACTGGAAAGAGTGGTTTCACTCCTAACCAGCTAAAAGCAAAACTGAAAAAAAAAAAGAAGTTAGTTGAGGATCTGAGATGCCAAGAGAATCCCTAGTTCACTCAAAGGTAATTTCAAAAAATCCCATCCCATCCCTAATAGTCACACACACTCCTTCTTTCAGCTTAGCCTGGCATATTTGCCAACCTGCATAAGCATCTTCAGTTCTGCTCCTGGGAGCCTACAGTGGTACATTAAGATGGGGGGGGGGAGGCAAAACTGTCAGCAGTCAGAATCTGAATGCCTGATAAAACTCACACTGTCACTCAGTACAAGGAAATCCAGTTGGTCTCCTGAAGAGCAATAAAACAGAAACCTCCAGGTCACAGAAAAAGTGTTACACACCTTGGCTGATTTGTCTTTGGAAACATTCAAGGGAACCTGAAAAGCACCAAATCTAGTTTAGGGGACAGCTAGAGGCATTATGAAAATTATTGGATATTTACAGAGATTCCAATCACCCTTCCTTGTTTCCTGGTTCTTGGTCTTTGGATCTTGCTTTTGCTTTGAGACATATCCTCTTTATGCTGCTCAGGCTGCTGTTGAAATCCTAAGCTCAAGAGATCTTCCCACTTTGGGGTCCTGAGTAGTTGGGACTACAGGTACACATCACTAAGCCCAGGTCCTAAGAGCTTTAGAAACTGATGTAATAACATACACTCTCTGGTCGTTTTTTTTAGAATGGCTCGTTAAAACCCTTGTCATTAATGTCATTATCCCAGACTATACAGTCAGATTGTGGCTCATAAAGGTAAAGTGGGGAAAAAGAAAGAACCCAGAGGTCTCGTCAGTTCCAAGACTCCATCATGACCTTCAAATAAAAGAAGATTATGTGTTTTCCTTTCCTTCTTCTTATTATTCTCTCATCCAAGGGCTCACTGGCACTCATTCTAATCTATCACACACAACTCATTCATAGGGGTGAGTGGGAAAGGAGAGAGAGAAAAGGATATTCTTTCATTGTCATCTCATGGCTCAAAATTCCACATCACTTATAAGCTGGTTAATATGAGAGTTTAATAAAATGTTTTATTTAAATTATCACACTGTAATAGTTTTTGGAAGAAATTTAGTTTTCTTAAAGATAATGCAGTTTATTTTTTTAGACATTCTGCAATATGTGTTCTTATGTGTTCTGTTTAACCTCAGATCCTTCCACACAAAGAAAACATTCTGAAGAACCAATCAGGATTTCTGTAGTCAGCTGCAAGTACCATCCCCATCTTTAACCTCAAGCAGGAAAAAATGAAGCATATTATCAATGCCTATGAACACAGCAATGACTCAGCAAGAAATAACTCTGATTGTCCTGATGTGGTTTTGCCAGACGAGATATTTTTCACAATCTCCATCATTGGAGTTTTGGAGAACTTGATTGTCCTCCTGGCTGTGATCAAAAATAAAAATCTCCAGTCCCCCATGTACTTTTTCATCTGCAGTTTGGCCATTTCTGACATGGTGGGCAGCCTGTATAAGATCTTGGAAAACATCCTGATCATCTTCAGAAACATGGGTTATCTCAAGCCTCGTGTCAGTTTTGAAAGCACAGCAGATGACATCATTGACTGCATGTTCGTCCTCTCTTTGCTGGGCTCTATCTTCAGCCGGTCTGTGATTGCAGCTGACCGCTACATCACCATCTTCCATGCCCTGCAATACCACAGCATTGTGACCATGCGCCGCACCATCATTACTCTAACAGTTATCTGGATGTTCTGTACAGGGTGCGGCATCGCCATGGTGATCTTCTCCCACCACATCCTCACAGTGCTCACCTTCACATCGCTGTTCCCTGTGATGTTGGTTTTTATCCTGTGTCTCTACATTCACATGTTCTTACTTGCACGCTCCCATGCTAGGAAGATCTCTACCCTTCCTAGAACCAACATGAAGGGTGCCATGACCCTAACCATCCTTCTTGGAGTCTTCATCTTCTGTTGGGCCCCCTTTGTGCTCCATGTTCTCTTAATGACGTTCTGCCCAAATAATCCTTACTGTGTTTGCTATATGTCTCTCTTCCAGGTCAATGGCATGCTGATCATGTGCAATGCAGTCATCGACCCCTTTATATATGCCTTTCGGAGCCCAGAGCTCAGAGATGCATTCAAAAAGATGTTCTTCTGCAACAAGTATTAGTAGAATTTTTGATCCCTGCTTTGAGTGTTGTAAAGGGACCAAATAACACAACAGTCTGACACATACCGATGCTTCTTCTCACCAGCCTTTCCTTCTTTAACAGATGGGGATGATCCCACTGACTAGTATTTACCATAATTGCCTTTCTTAATAACAGTCTTACTGTATCTGCAAACTTTCTATTGTATCTAGAGAGAAGAAAGGATGTGCTAAAAAGGATAGTTTATGCATACAAATGTGAGGACTTTAGGCTAAGCAAATATTTGTTCTTCTGTGAATACCTGGCAAAGCTGTCATGGGGGGCCTTTCCAAGCAGGAAGCCATGGTAAACAATTCTCTAGAATTTAAGGTACTTTTTAAACGTCTAACTAACTAACTATATGTGTTAGTCAGATTTCTATGTATGTGTGAAATACATGCAATCAATCAACTTTGAAAGAGAAAATGTTTATTTTGGTGCATAGGTTGTTGAGGTTTTGGTTCATGGTACCTAGCTGTTGCTTTGGGCCTATGGTGAAACAGTAAGTACATCATGATGAGACCATGTAGTAAAATTACTCGTGGTAGCCAGAAATCCATGGGGAAAAAAAAGAAAAGAAAAAGAAAAAAGAAGAAAAAGAAAAGACAGATGTCCTACAGTCTTCTTTGATGGTAAAAACTTCAATGGACTAGACCTCATTCTGATAGCAGCAAACTAAAGACCGAGTCTTTAAGATGCAGGGATCACTTAATCAAACCACTCAGAGTCGAAACTGTAGTGTACTTGTAGACAAAGATGCTAATTAATTGCCACGACTAAATAGCCCATCTCTCCAGCTTTGAGTTCCCAAGAAGAAATGAATCTTCACTATCAGTCTTCTTTGCTTGGTCAGGATCCCACTTAGTCTTAAAAATCTCTTCCTGCTTCAGTTTTCTCAAGGTTTTGAAGCCAAGAAAGAAAGAAAGAAAGAAAAAGAAAGAAAG